TATCTGCTCTGCTTCTAGTTTGATGATCCAGTAATTTGTAGCAAATTAGTCGCTATACTCATGCGGCTAAAAAGCGTTAATGATTATTATACTTGATGCAGTAAATACATTCGAAATTCATTGACTTAATAGCAATCTTCGTAAGTCGTCCGAATGTTAATTTATGAAATAATTGAAAATGACGTTCAAGATGCGTTCGAATGGACGGTAGCTCTGCCGTATGCGTATCGAGCGTTTGTTTTCCTAATCCTTGTCAAAACAATGCCACTTGTGAAGAGATCAGTGTAATGAATTTGTAATTCTTTTCAGTTTGTAATTCTCATTGATTGCTGTTTATTATGTAAAATTAAATTTTTTAGGTAATCAATTACAGTGAAAATGTAATTTCGTGAATGTAATAATGTCTAGGTAACTAACAATGAGATAAACAATTCAGTTCGTCACAAAGAAATTCTCCCAAAAAAGTCGAACATAATTCATCATAAGCAATTCAGTTTGTTAATAATCGCTACTAAATATAGGATGGGTTCACGTGCGTTTGTCCATCTGGTTTCGGAGGTCGTTTATGTTCGAATGACATTGATGAATGTGTCGTATCGCCCTGTTTAAACGGCGCTGAATGTGTCAATAACTATGGATCGTATTCATGTATCTGTCCGAAAGGATATCGTGGTCAGTACAAATTTTGCTTTCTTTCCCCAACTATATTTTATCGAAATCTGTCAGCGTGACAATATCTGCGTTGTTACACTCAATATTATCGTCATCAACCAAACTATTGTTAAATATCATTATTATTTAACTCATAACATTATTACTTTCACAACCGCATTTAACTCTCCCCGCATCCCCAATAAAATCTTATCCTCGTTGATTTCATCATTGATATCGCAATTGTTTTTAGATTCGAAATTATTTTTGCATGGAATCCACTTCATTTAGTGAATAAAGGAAGAGATCCTTCTTTAATTATTCATCGCTGGATGGACCCTGTTTCCCAAAACATCACAATTATACCAACAATAACCAATTAAAGAATTGGGAAAATTTTTTACACTGTTATGAAAGGGTGTGCTAGATGTGAGGCATCGAGTGTGCAGCCGCATTCTGCTCTCCGTTGCTGATGACTGCGGCGAGTGATAACTCGTTGGATACTGATCATTCTCGGTTTAAGATGTAGCAAATAAAGAAAATGTTAAGAGGGGTCGTCCGTCATCTTTGAGCACCTATCACAATGTGTGCCTCTCGGTCAAAATTTATGTTCATTTATTATAGGAAAACTATGTGCTGAGCGATTCTTCTGTGATTTGAATCCGTGTTTAAATGGAGGAACATGTTTAGAGGACGGCAATGGATATCAGTGTGTTTGCCCTGAAGCATTCACCTCTCACAATTGTCAGGTTCGTATGAGTTACAAATGCTGTTTGAATGATCCATAGAACGCCAACTGAGTGAGAATGAGCCATTACTCTGCAAACAAAACACTCCATCTGTAACTGCGCATGATTCTAGGTTATGATCGCAGATGTGTGCAACTGTTCAAATGCGGCTCATCACTGCGTCAACGGCGAATGCGTGTGTCCAACCGGCTTCACGGTAACCATTCTTCACTCACGGCAATCAATCTAATCATTTCTTCTTTATACCATATAAAATACGCATCTGATAGTGAATTTCTGACAAGGTGACTTCTCAAAATTATTGTTTCCAATCAGGAAAATAATTGAACTTTAGGGTGAAAATTGTGATGAGCAAATATCGAAAATGTGTAGCGAATCGAGTGAATGTTTGAATGGTGGAACATGTCACCCCGCAAATAATACCTGTATTTGTGCTGATGGATTCAAAGGTGTGAATTGTGAGGAAAGCATTGAGTGCTTAGTAGAGGGGTAAGTCATCCTTCGTATAGCATTTTTCAAAATAATTTTCATATCTCCCTTACCTTCATGACAAAATGGAGTAATTATCTGGATTTTAGAAATCCGTGTAATAAATTTTTGATTTTTATTTGCAGCAAGCAATGTGTTCACGGCAAATGCCGTTCTATAAACGGAAGCAACGTTTGCGTGTGTGAGATGAGCTATCAGGGACTCCTGTGCGATAAGGAAATCTTGTTACCAGACCCATGTGAACGTTATAACTGCAACTCAGGTTTTTAACTCTATTGCTCGTTATGAGGTTGTTCAAACATCGAAGTTTCATAGCATTAGAATATTGTTCAAGTTATTTTTCTGCTTCAGTTATAAATGTGATTAGGAAAATTGTTGGATGTTGCGTTTATAGCGAAAATTGATATAAAAGTGAGGTCAATTTTCATTCGTTCAGTCAGAGTAATTGAAGAATCGAAATATTATAATCGCTTGCCGCTTTCGGTTGAGAATTACTGTCAGTTATCATCATGTGTTTTAGGTTACTGTGAAAATAAGGATGGTGTAGCTTTGTGCCAGTGCCCTGTGGGTACTACGGGTGAACACTGTGAAAGTCATGATGTCTGTGCCGACGAACCGTGCCTAAACGGAGGTCACTGTTCGGCTGTTGGAGCAGGTGAATTTGCCATCTAATTTACGTCTATATTGCACATTTCATAATTGATATCTACAACAGGGTCCTTTATGTCTTCGGAAAGTGTCTGATGGAGAAGCATTCATATAAATGAACTATTAGAATACTTCTTCTGTCATGTTGCATTGCATTAACCGGCCTTCCACTTATAACTTAAATGAGTGTTCTCTAAAGCACTCATAGAGTACGTTCAAACCCCCACTCCCTCCAACGAAATCATCACTTTGGATGTGAACTTCCTGCGTTTATATTTCAAAAGAATTCCGCCACCCTTTTCAGAATGATTGTTGTATATGTTGAGTATGAGGGATGTTTGCAGACTCGTCACAGTTTGTTTGTACTTGTCAGCNTTCATGACACCCTTGTTCCTATTTATTCGGGTCGATTCATGTCATATTTTCATAATACGATTTGTGGTTTCTTTTAATCAAATGGCATTTGTGTATTCATTCATTCAATAATGTGACAATAATGAAGGCGATATCAAACTGTGGTGATTGCGTGCATGCAGTTCGGTGTCTAAAGCGTGACGATGTGCATATGTCATGCATCTGTGATTCTGAATGGGATGGTGCTAGATGTGATCAGTCTTTTCAGGTTATAACTAAATTGTTTCTTGTGCACTTTATAAAGTATTAGTCGAATCGAAGGAGAAACAAATCACGTTTTTGTCCAAAACAAAATCAGTTGATAAAGTCTTCTATGCCACTGAACCATAAGATTGTATTCATTTGAAGCATTTCTCTATGATGAAAGAAAAATATTTGGGTTTGACAGAATTTGATGTTGTAGGGATGTAGTGAGCTTAATTGTAAGCCATATGAAATGTGTCGTGCAGCAAGGAATAGAATGGGTTCCAAAGCGAAATGTGCATGTGCACCGGGTTTGCGAGGCATCAACTGCTCGTCCACTACATCAGCTACTTTCCTGTCCACTTCATTCTATTTGCATCAGTCCAATAATCTAATGATCGGGTTTGCTTCTACTTCCTTACGCCATATTGACCATTTTTTGTTGCATTGATCCCCCGTTATATTTAATCTCCCATTTATCGATGCCTATTATTGTTTGATAATAGTTCACGATGATTGAATTGTCGAACCTGAACTGCTTTAATCTAAGAAGCTATCACTTTGATATCCTCAAAATTATCGAATTCGTGTCGGATTTTCATGCAAATACTCAAACCATTGTTTTCTTTCGTTCTTTTCCATATCTTGATCAATTCATATTTTTTCAGCTCCCCTCTTGCACCGTACTCGTTGAAGTTCTCATTCCGAACCTCAGTACGCGATGCACATATTGTAGCGGCTGAGAATATCTTGAATCAGATGCAATTCGCCATTCGAGTGCGCAATGCGCAGCTCTACGCCAATTTCTCAGAAGAATCTCTCTTTCCGGTTGTGCCATTCCCAGTCAACGATGATCGTTGGTATCGTGTCATTGTCACGAATATCGATAAGGTGATTGGATTCTTGATTATCTCGCGTCAAATTCCTTCTTAGAATTAATGTACCGGTAGCACGAATCCGGACAACTCATATGGTACACGTCATGCTAACATAATAAACTACTTATAGTCCTGCACTCATTATGGTGCTTTGCCAACCATATTACATAGCGGATGATTTATTAATGCTCGCTGAAAAATTATTTCAGAGAATCGCCATGGAAGTTTATGTGGAAGATTTCATGGTGAAGAGTGTCATAGTAAACGAGAAAAAAGATATGGGAATATTNTGGACGCGTTTTGGTAAAGATCGAGATATGAATTTCCGCGGATGTTTGCGTGACGTGGAAATTAATGACGAACAAATAGATCTCGTGAATTCAAGGTTCATTAGGCAATCTTAATACCTTTCGGTGTAATCATACGATATTTCTATAATTCTTCCTGAATCAGAACAATGTCGACCTTTTCCTCCGTCTTTGCAAAATCACAATTTTGTTTGATGAACAGCTCTATGAAGCAAGCATGATTACATGACAGTTATGTTGCATACGATCAACCCATAACTCAAAACGTTTCTTCACCTTAAATGATCTAATTTTGAGGCGGTCAATAGGAATCAAGGAGGGTTGTCAACGACATAAGCAGTGCATACCAAATCCTTGTGCTAATGAAGGTGTGTGTATCGATGAGTGGGATACGTTCACGTGCGATTGCAAAAGACCTTTTCTATTACCACATTGCGTCTACAAGTTAACTGAAGTGACTTTTGGACATAACAATATCAGTTCAAGAATGGAGTACATTATCGGCAGTGATGCCGACGAGATCAAATCAGTGACCGATATGAGCATGCTCATACGTACGAATAAACCGAACGATGTCATTTTGTATATCGGTGATAAAGAGGTGTGTGATGCTTCTGTCTGTAGGCAGTTATCACCTTTGGATCGTTTAATTTGTAATGCATCATTCTTGTATCACCTGAATTTGACTTCATTTGCGTAAGAATGACTCAAATGTGGATCATCTATATGAACTATACTTACTGTATATTCAGACATATACTCTCTCTCAAATAAAGTAATCAAATTTTCTAAATTCATATTAGAATTTTGATTTACTGTAGAATTTGTAACTTGTTTTTTTTTCACTTGATGTTTGCTTGTATTTGGTGTAAGCGATTTTGCAGAAAAGTTATTTATACAACTTTTAGAAATACATTTTTCGGCACAAATAAGATAAATGGCATCTCGATACGCTCCATGTTTGGCCATATCATAAATAATTGTAGTTTTATTTTAGCCTCCTGTATTTTGATCTTTCGTTCTAATGAAGAGATTTTAAGCAAGCATTGGATAGCGCTGGCACGTTCATCTCACTGGCTCTAGTGAATGGCTCATTGCAAGCAAAATCAAATCTTGGAACGAAACATATCTTCTCTGCGAAATCCATTCAGCCGATTAATGATAATGTCGTGCATTTGGTTCGGTTGTTGAGAAATGACAATAACATCAATGTTAGTTTNGACATTATTTGCAGCCGAATTTGTAGATGGAGCCGAATGCGGAGTGGTTGTTTGATATCTGCTCGATGTGCTAAATACAGCAAGAATACAACGAGGGGTGAGGGTTATAGCATCGTAGATGTATGTGTTTACAGGTACTGGTGGATGGTCATGAAGCGATGAAATTCGAAGTGGAGAATCGTTTTGATCATCCGTTGCTGGCCGATTTATTGGTTGTTGGAAGCAGGGATGGTATTCGAGGGGGTGCCTTTGATACAGACGATTTCTTTAAGGGCACTATTCAGGATCTTAGAATTAATAATCGATCGGTTGTATTCACCACGATGCCAGATGGCGCCGATATTCAGTCATTTGGAACTCGCATTTCTCAAGAAAATATCATCGAGGTACACGAAATCCATCTGTTTATTCGGTTCGCCTAACTTCCTTTACGTGAACTCTGCTCGAATTCGCGTGTGTTTCACATGAAGTATGATCGTTTCCTTTTTGAAACTGCTTTTTCAAATGAGAATCTCGAGAACGGAGGCTCCCTCATCGGAGTATTCCTTCATTGTCAAACGCGCTCACTATCAGATCCCTACAAAACTATTGGTTGTTTTTTCATTTGCTGGACGAAATTCTCAAAATTTGTTCCGAGCTATTGATATTTTCTCCTATAAATATTGATTTGCATTTTGAATAAGAATATTTTGAAGGGTACTGTAACGGATGATGTGTGTGCGGAGGAGAATCGTTGTGTGAATGGTAAATGTGTGAACACATTCAATGATTTCGAGTGTATTTGTGATTTCTCATGGATGGGAAGAACCTGTAGTGATAGGGATCACTGTGCATTGAATCCATGCCCCACCAACGTTCAATGCACCAATTTTGCAACTGGATACATATGTAATCATTTCTCAATATTTTCATTTCAAACATTTGCTTATGATTAGTTTCTGGAATTCTATTTTCTGATTGTGGTCATTGTTTGGTAAATTAAGCTTTCGTTTTTCAAAGCTTAATTGACCGTGTAATCGACAAGAAATTAGCACACATCCGAATCATTCTCTTGAATGCAGTATCTCGCTGTGTCTATAAGTTCGATATTCCTTGCAGGCCATTTGCCAGCAACATTTGTGAATTCGTCATCTGTTACCTATTCATTGGCCGATGCAACCGAGCGAGCATTATTGCCATCCTCTAATTTGAGTTTATCAATTCGAACTCGGTCGAAGTTCGGACAGATACTTTACTTGGAGAGTGATCCTAACTCTATCATAATATCACTGGCCGATGGCGTGCCAGTTGTTGAGATGAGATTTGGAAATGATTCGCAAATGTTCAACAGTAAATCTGTGGTTAACGATGGACAGTGGCACACCATAGCTATGAGTAATCAAATGGCTTGGATTGACAATGTGCCGAAACAATATCTTAAAGCAACATCTCATTTCGAACTTCTGCTGCAAAAATCAAATGCAACATTGGTATTAGGGAGGAAAGATCAGTACAGTGCATCATTTGACGTGAGTCTATGCATCCGTGTTCCCTTTTTTTCTGTGCTTTTCACCATCCGGTTGTTGATTAATTTCACCTCATTTTTTCGGAGTATCTCTTCACTCGTTAGGTCGTATATAATTCGTTTTTAACAGTTGTAGCGTTCACAATTAAGGAAAACACGAAAAAAAATTCTTAGTAGAAAAACTTCTTGATCTTAAACAAATCAATCAACTAATCATACTAGACGTATTTGATGGATTGCATTAGGAAAATATCTTACGCCAAGAAGTTGATTCCCTTACTGTATGTTTTCAGGGTTGTCTGAAAGACGTTCGGATCGGTTCATCCGCACCGTTAAGCTTTTTTGACGAAAGTAAATCTGGAGAATCGTTAAATGGTTCTCTTCATTTCGTGCTGAAGAAGCGAATTAGTGTACGCGATGAGTGCCGCTCAGAAGAGTTATGCAGTGCGTTAATAGATCCTTGTAAGAATACGGCGACCTGTGTAGACCTCTGGAATTTGCGCAGGTGCGAGTGTCCGACTGGATTCAGTGGTGATTTATGTGAGGTAAACTTCTGTCCCATACTTTCAATCATTTGGAGTTTATTTTTGAAGAAAGTTTTGTGATATTAATTCATCAATTGATCGGACGTATTTTCGAGTCAAGTTTCAAATTACCTTTTCGAACATATTCAGTTATGAATAATTTGAGGAGAATGTGAACGAGTGCAAATCACACAAGTGCGTGCATGGTGAATGCATCGATGGAATTAGTAAATACAGGTAACTCGCTATTATTTCAGTTTTTTTTTGGAAAACTGGTAGAAGAAATCAGTGTTAGTTCACCTCTCGAAATCTTTCTGTCAGCGCATCTCAAAAAATCCTTTTGTTGATTCATCGCAACAAACCAATGTTGCAGA